TAAGTTTATAAAAGGACAATGTTAATCCATAAAAGTCTTCTCCCTGAGAGTTTGAATGAAAATGAATCTTGAATTTTATTCAGGTTTTTGATCAAGGACAGAACAACCGGCTAATATAGGCTGTACAATCAGAACAATACGTAATATGAGAGAGCATAGTTTCATCTCTTCTGACAAGGATGCATTGGTCACTGCTTCAGGTGCAAAAGCGTTTGACGACAGAAAAACAAAGGCACAGTCTTACTGCTCAAGAACTCTTAAACTTAGCCATCACAGGAGATAAAGCCTGATTTGCACCATTCACCCAACCCCTGAAATGGGCTCTCTGCATTTGTTGAAGCTGCTGGCATTTCCTCCTTTCCTAGAGTAATTTTGCAAAGAAGGCTCCTCCCTCGTGGGCTGGACCAAGGCAGCACACCAAGGAAGTGTCAAAATGATGAATGGGGAATGCCTCACTGCCTGTTGTTTTTTATTATTGGGACATCAAATAATGTATTTGAAACTGTTTTTGTCACCCTGAAGATGAAACAGGCCGTTTTAATACACATTCTGGCTTGGAAGAATCTCTGATATTGGCTAGGAACACACACCAGAATCTCTGCATATGTATGTATATAGCTCCCCTGTTTGCTGTCAAAAACAATTCTAGTCTCAATGGTAAGTATCTATTTAAAATTTTATTTTAACAGCATAGCTTTGGGGAGGGAGGAAAGGAATAGGAAGCAAAAACAAAACAAAAAAAACCCGTTGCCTTGGCAGTTGTTATGTCTAAATTTAGGTTTCTCGGGCACAGTCTTCTCTTTGGCTTTTCAGAATGATTGCCAGGTCTGGAACTTTCGAACTGGAACAAAAATGCAGAATACAGTGCGAGCTCAAAATATATGAAGAAGCTTTTCTTAGCCTCCCATTTGAGATGGAATTAGAATTTCAAATCCAACAAAAGCACCTGAAAGTATCAGACCCCATCAGGGTGTATACTCTCTGCTGAGACCTGTGCTAGCTTTTGGGGGCATGGGCACATTAGAAGAATAAGAGAAACTGTGCAGAAACAACACGAATCGCAACCAAGCACAAACCTCAACCAATACCAAACAAATCAGATACCAACATGGTGTTTCTTTTCAAAGCCTGATTTAAGGCAGAGGGGAACTGCAATGGGAGGGGGACCTCGTGGACAATCTGGACATCCTGAGGGTGCCAAGGGTTGACCACCTCCCACTATGGGCAGAAGAAGGTAGTGTTGAAAAAACCTAGTAAGAACAATTTGTGACACTTCAGTAATTAAACAAAAAATAATTATTAAACCCTTTGGATAGATTCAGGGGGAAAACGTATATTGGGTGTGTGTGTGGTGTGTGTGTAACGCGTGCCATGTGCAAAGTCGCACACATAAAGACACACACAAAAAGCTGCAAAAAGGCTAATGTTATTCTAGGCTGCATCAAACAGAAAGTAGAGGCCCACATGCAAGGAAAGTTGCACTACTGCTATTCTATTATAGGCAACCAACAGTTTTACGAAAAGAATATTAAGAAGCTGGAACATGTGGCAGAGGAGGGTGACCAAAAAAATGAAAATCAAGGGCCTAGAAACCAAACTGAAGAGGAATGGTTGAACAAGTTGGTTATGTTTAGGCCTAGAGAATAGAAGACAGAGATGACATGGTAACCATCTTCATATATGTGAAGGGCTGTCAGCAGGGAAGATGAACGCAAGCCTTCTCTTCAAGCTGCTCAGGGAGGTAGGACCTAAACCAATGGACTCAAATTACAAGAAAATGAGATTTTTGACTAATAGGAATACCAACTTCTGGATGGTAAGGGTTTGTTTGAGCAGTGGAATGGATGTTCCTTAGAAAGTGGTGGACCTGTCCTTCATTTGAGGTTCTTTAAACAACAGTTGGATGGCCATGTGTCAGGTCTTTAGCTATGATTCCCTCCCTCTTCCCCCTCCCTCCCTCCTCACTCACCCATCCATCCACACACACACAGAGACCAATTCACACTACAGTAGCTGTGTCCCTGAGATGAGCTGCAGCCAGCTATCTCATAAAATGAGACCATAGGTGGGGGGGGGGGACTATAGAAAACATGAATTTAATAGTTTTTCTGATATAATGGGTTTTGAACATAAACCATTACTGCTGAAAACCTTAAGCGCAAAATTAACAGGGAGATAATAACTTGAAACAGAAATGTCATGTGGGGCAGGAAAACTGTCAGTACATATATGTTTTTTTCGGCAGATTGCTGTTAAATGGTGAACTGTAGAACTGTGCTATTAATTTCACATCAGTGACTCTAGCAAACCAGATTTAGTGCCCAGAGCTGAGCCAAACATCTTCCTCATCTTGCTAACAAACAGAAAGAGAATGCACAACAACCTACTGTCAACTTACACATCTTTGCTTGGCCTTCCTGGGGCAATGATAGACCTTACATATAAGGGGTCCTTTCCCATTTTGCCCTCCTGATTGATTGTAGGCAGATGCACCCCATTACATAAGGCCAGGGATGAAAGACCTGTGGTTTTGCCAGCTGTTGATGGGTACAAACACATTCCCATAATCCTCACAATTGGTTGCTCGCTGGGAGTGATGGGTGTTGGAGTCCCACAACATCTTGGAGAGGCATAAGTTTTACAAAGCCCTGAGTTTGTTTTAACCACTGTTGGTTATCAGAGAAGAAAGCTGCTTCATGGAAGTGCTGAGTAGTGAGCTTGCAGGTGGCTGATGATGTGCATTCTTTGGTGACTCTTCTTCTTCTCTATGCTAATAATACTCTGGAAAGTCTGGCATCATTACAGCCATCTCCAGAAGTGATGTAGGACCACTTGGACTCAGTTTCTAATGTATAATGGGCTGGGTGGTTGAGCCATTTAACCTTTTTTTAAAAAAAACCAACAACTTCCATTTAAATAATATGTTTTCATACATTAATTTGCCCCACAGTCTTGCAAAAGAAGAATCTAATGTACGATTAATTAATTATTGATAATTATAATAGTAATAACATTTTATTTGTACCCCGCCTTCCCCCTGGCCAGAGCTGGGCTCAGATTGCGGCTACATCATATAAATAACACAGTCTGTATACATAAAAACAGGCATCAATTAATTAAATTAACATCTTAAAATTTAATTGAGACAAATTATAATCTGGACAAATGGCAGTTATCAGGTTAAGACTGAGAGCGGTTAAATACTTGCCTAGGACGGCAACTGTTTTCACTGATCAATAAGGACCTGCGAAACAGGCTGTTAAATAGATTAGTTGACCGAAGTGACTTAAATAGAAATTACTGGTGTAATTCTTACTGACAGCAAAACCATGACTAGAAAGTGACAACTCATTACTTGGCCAAAATGAGTCAGTTAAATCACCAAAAACTGTACAATTTAAAAACAACAACAAAAACCTATCAGCAGTTGAAGCTCAAATATCCATCAGTTGAAAGGGACCCACAAATTTAGCCTTCTGCTATCAAGCTTATCCAAGCCGGAATTACGATCGCCGGAGAAATATCAACAACCTCAGATATGCAGATGAAACAACCTTGATGGCAGAAAGTGAGGAGGAATTAAAAAACTTTTAATGAGGGTGAAAGAGGAGAGCGCAAAATATGGTCTGAAGCTCAACATCAAAAAACGAAGATCATGGCCACTGGTCCCATCACCTCCTGGCAAATAGAAGGGGAAGAAATGGAGGCAGTGAGAGATTTTATTTCTTGGGCTCCATGATCACTGCAGATGGTGACAGCAGCCAGAAATTAAAAAGACGCCTCTCCTTTGGGAGAAGGAATGAAGGCCTAGACACATCTTAAAGTAGAGATCACCTTCCCAACAAAGGTCCGTATAGTTAAGAGCCATGGTTTTCCCAGTAGTGATGAATGGAAGTGAGAGCTGGACCAAAGAAAGGCTGATCGCCGAAGAATTGATGCTTTTGAATTATGGTGCTGGAGGACTCTGAGAGTCCCATGGATGAAGAAGATCAAACGCATCCATTCTTAAGGAATCAGCCTGAGTGCTCACTGGAAGGACAGATCGTGAAGTTGAGGCTCCAGTACTTTGGCCACCTCATGAGAAGAGAAGACTCCCTGGAAAAGACCCTGATGTTGGGAAAGATGGAGGGCACAAGGAGAAGGGGACGACAGAGGATGAGATGGTTGGATAGTGTTCTCGAAGCTACAAACATGAGCCTAACCAAACTGCGGGAGGCGGTGGAAGACAGGAGTGCCTGGCGTGCTCTGGTCCAGGGGTCACCAAGAGGCGGACATGACTAAACGACTAAACAACAACATTACTGCTCAACAGCCCTGATCCAGAGGTGCTGAGCAGGGACTGCCAGCCATTAAGGTAAAGGTGAAGGGACCCCTGACCATTAGGTCCAGTCGCAGATGACTCTGGGGTTGCGGCGCTCATCTCGCTTTACTGGCCGAGGGAGCCGGCGTACAGCTTCTGGGTCATGTGGCCAGCAGGACTAAGCCGCTTCTGGCGAACCAGAGCAGCGCACGGAAACGCCGTTTACCTTCCCGCCGGAGCGGTACCTATTTATCTACTTGCACTTTGACGTGCTTTCGAACTGCTAGGTGGGCAGGAGCTGGGACCGAGCAACGGGAGCTCACCCCGTCATTGCGGGGATTCGAACGCCGACCTTCTGATCGGCAAGTCCTAGGCTCTGTGGTTTAACCCACAGCGCCACCCTATGTGGTATATGTGACTGTAAAATTTTAATCTGAAAAACCAAATAAATACATTTATTATAATAATAATCGTGATCTGGGAACACTAGGAACTGCCTAGTTTAGAATCTAGCCCTGTAATGTCTGCACTGGTAGACAGCTGCATCGTCCCAGGCAGGGGACATGCCTGACCAGCCCTACCTGAAGAGGCGGTGATTGAACCGGAGTCTTCCAGTGAGATGGTCCTTCTTTTCTCTTGTCTCTTGCATCGAGTGTTGAAAGGGCACCAGAGAAACTTTGTCCGCTTCCCCCCGTTGCAGCGACTTCTGTTCTCTGACGCCGTGATGTTTTTGCATCCAGATGCAGATTACGTGGAGATCAGGAACCATTTTGTGGCCGCCCGGCCGCACCTCCCCGTCATGTTCATCGCCACCCCCAGGGACCGCCGGGACTCTGCGTGGACCAAGGAGAAGCCTTCTGCGCAGGTGAGTCCAGCTGCAGCCTTCGTCCCCTGGTTGGCCAGGTCAAACCTTTCCTTCTCGGCCTGTTTCGATCTGTCCTCTCTCACTGAAGCCTTTTCAACACTGCTAAAATTGCTAAAGGATGTTTGAGGTGGCAGTGCATGGGTTCTCCCCAGTGCTTTTTATCTGGGGGGGGCTGCAGGGGTGTGCATACGCTTAAACATTTTGTGAATCTAAGCTTGGCCTCATTGAGAGGGCAGTATTTCACAATGAGTAAGAAAATGAGTGTATCCCTAAACATTTTTTTAGGAAAAGTAGCACTGGTTCTCCCCCTTCTCATCTTTTTAAAAATATATATATATATAATTTTTTATTAGTTTTTTTAACATACATTTTCAACAATAAGTAAACATACTTCTATATATGATACAATTTTTTTACTTCCATCAATCACATCGAATTTTTTTCCAATCTATTCATTTAATATACATTTCTAGTTAAGCTGACTGGTGCAAGGTCACCCATTGAGTTTTCGTGACGGAGTGGGGATTTGACCTGTTCTCACAGGTCGTAGTCTAGCCCAGTGGGCTCCCAAGCTTTTTCAAGCCACTGCCCCCTTGGTTCTATAAACTCACGCCCAGAGCCCCCTGCCGCACCCTATAAAAAAAGTCTTTATTCATAATGGCACACCCCACTCAGGAAGGTAAAAGGTAAAGGTAAAGCGACCCCTGACCATTAGGTCCAGTTGTGGCTGACTCTGGGGTTGTGAACGCTTCATCTCGCTTTATTGGCTGAGGCAGCCCAGCGTTTGCCCACAGCTAGCTTCTGGGTCATGTGGCCAGCAGGACTAAGCTGCTTCTGGTGAACCAGAGCAGCGCACAGAAACGCCTTCCCACCAGAGCGGTACTATTTATCTACTTGCACTTTGACGTGCTTTCGAACTGCTAGGTTGGCAGGAGCAGGGACCGAGCAGCGGGAGCTCACCCTGTCGCGGGGATTCAAACCGCCGACCTTCTGATCGGCAAGTCCTAGGCTCTGTGGTTTAACCCACAGCGCCACCCACGTCCCACTCGGGAAGGTAGTAACACAATAAAATTCAAAACAGTAGCAGTTACACCTTCATTTGGAATCCAATTTAATTCAACTTTTTAAATATTATTGTTTTATTGAAAGAATTTCCGTTATAAAGAAATAAAGCGGTACAGAGGAAAGGAGGGGGGAAAGAATAAAGATGTTAGACACACACACACACACACAAACAAACAAACAAACAAACAAACAAACACACAATGTAGTTTCTTTAATTCAACTCGATGATCCAGTGCTATCAGCTTTTCAGAGTCTGATGGTCATTTACACCTCCTGCACCTCCCTGCCGCCTCCTTGCTTCTTGGCGCCCCTCTAGGTTATTCCCCCACCCGCCAGGGGACGGTACACCCCACTTTGGGAACCCTGCTCTGACCTCTACACCGCACTGGGCCTCTCCTTTTGAGGAAGGGTCTGGAGGCAAAGGCACCACCTGGGCTGGCTGCCTCCGAATGTCCTTCGCTCTCCTGCAGAATCGAGCCAGGCCTTGCAAAGGTGGTGGTGGTGGGGTCCTTCCAGATACACCAGCTCTTGCCAAGTGCCCTCGCGTGCCCACCGGCGGCGCTGGCTGTGAACGGTTCTTAAAACCTCCCCCTCTCTTCTGCCTCTTCTTCTCCCCCCCACACCAGGTCCTGCAGCGCCTCTTGGTTTTGGCTCAGGAATCTCTTCAGGTTTTGGAGAAGCAGCTCATGGACCCTCTGGGAAGCCAGGATGTGAAGGCAAGTTTATTTAGTCATTTATTCTATTTAAAGAAAATAATAATAATAATTTATTATTTGTACCCTGCCCATCTGGCTGGGTCTCCCCAGCCACTCTGGGCGGCTTCCAACAAAGATTAAAAGCACATTAAAATGTCACACATTAAAAACTCCCTGAACAGGGCTGCCTTCAGACGTCTTCTAAATGTCTGGTAGTTGTTGTTCCACCATGGCGGGCGCCACTACTGAGAAGGCCCTCTGTCTGGTTCCCTGTAGCTTTAAAACATTAGACATTGTAAAACATTAGACATAAAACATTTCCTGATACAGGGCTGCCTTCAGATGTCTTCTAAATGTCAGGTAGTTGTTTATCTCTTTGACAACTGATGGGAGGGCGTTCCACAGGGCGGGTGCCACTACTGAGAAGGCCCTCTGCCTGGTTCCCTGGTAACTTGGCTTCTTGCCAGTGAGGGAACCGCCAGAAGGCCCTCGGCGCTGGACCTCAGTGTCCGGGCAGAACGATGGGGGTGGAGATGCTCCTTCGGGTATACTGGTATTGATTGATAGAACACTGTGTCTGTCTGTCTGTCTATCTGTCTATCCTCTATCATCTATCCATGAAATCATAGAATTGTAGAGTTAGTTGCCTATTCCAACCCCCTGCAATGCAGTCAACAAAATAGCCTGTTCAAAACTGTTCTGTAGGCTTGTTGGCCAGACCTCGACCTGCCAAGCGAAGTGACCAGACTTGATTGGGAGGGGGTTGGCCAGTGAAGCAAGCAGCAGGAGGGGCTGATAACCCTCCGAATGGTTAGTGAAAATCTACCCTCTTGTTGCTTGTCCATGAGATCTAGTCAGCAGAGAAGACGCCTTTGCCCTCTTCCATTCAGCCATTCAGGTTTTCTGAACCCTCCCTCGTCCTTCTCTTTCCCATGGCAAACCACACCCCAGTTCCTTCAACCTTTCCTCTTGGGACTTGAGTTCCTCCTTTCATTTCATTTTTTTAAAGGTAAGTTTCTAGTCCTCGTGACAGAAGGTTTGTAAATGACTGAATAAGAGTCCCAGTAGAGGGCTGGACGTGGGGCTTCAGTGCCTTGCAATAGCTGCTCCTGCTTCCCTGTCACTAACCAAGCCGGGTTTAAAATGCACCATGGACTGCTTTAGCAGAGTTTCCTGCATTGCCACGGGGGTTGGACTAGATGACCTTTGGTGGACCCTTCCAAATCTACAATTCTGTGTACCGTATTTTCGCTCTATAGGACGCACCGGACCATAGGAGGGGAGAACAGGGGAAAAAATTTACCCCCCCTCTCCGCTCAGCGCCCTTCAGCGAAGCGGGAGGAGAAATGGAGCCCCTTCCAATTCTCCTCCCGCTTCGCTGAAGGGCGCTGCGCAGAGAGGGGGATAGCAAAGCCGAAGCCTGGAGAGCAAGAGGGATCGGTGTGCACCGACCCCTCTCGCTCTCCAGGCTTCAGGCGGCTATCTGCAAGCCTTCGGAGCACAGCGAGAACTCCTGCTGCGCTCCGAAGGCTTGCGGATAGCTGCCTGAAGCCCCCGGAGCGCAGCGGGAGTTCCCTGCGCTCCGGGGGCTTCAGGCGGCTTCAGCAAAAGCAACGCAAAGCCTCCGGAGAGCGGGGGGAGCTCTCCCTCTCCACTTCGGAGGCTTCGCATTGCTAATCGCTGAAGCCAAGGAGCCTGCATTCGCTCCATAGGACGCACACACATTTCCCCTCATTTTTGGAGGGGGAAATACGCATCCTATAGAGCGAAAAATACCGGTAATTACTCAAAATGATTTTAAAACTGCAGAATGAAATGTCACAAGTCATCCTTCTCTTCATCTTTCATAGTCGATTTGGTTTCCAGAGGGGCAGCTGCATCAGTTAGTCTCTGTGACTGCTGTAAATCAAAGACCATTTGTGCCTCCTTAAAACAGTTAACAATTTTTTGTGGCCACAATTTTTTGAAGCACTCGAGGCCACTTTGTCAGGTGCATCTTAGTTGATGAAGGCTGCGGAATTGAGTTTATCTTAGCTCTGCACTTCTGTGGCTTTCGTCATCAGTTTTCAATTCGTTCATATTTTTTGGAGGGGAGAGAACAAAGACTCGATTCAGATTCTACCCCCACCCCCAGCTAAGTCTCTTCTGCTGTGTTGCCAGTTTGTTTTGCAAAGCTCAGGCGTGTCACCATAGCTGCCCAGAGTACCGCACTCATGATGCATGATGTTGCGCACGATATGGTTGTTGTAGAGCTGGGCGTTTTAGGGAGGCCCACGTGAGAGTGACAACCACTTCCTGAAGCTGCCATGCCGTTGCAGCACCTCTTCCAGAGCTCTCTGTTGTTCTTATCTTGCGGTTTGCGTTGCAAGCCTGCGAAAGTTGGTGATGTGGGTTCCTCCTTGGCAGGGAGAAAGCTGGTGAGCAAACTCGAGAAACTCAACTCACGGTGATTCAGCATCTCTGCAGATGCAGAAGTGGAGTGCTGTGCTTGCATGACTTTCAGCTGCTGAGATCTGATATTTTTAATATATATATATATTATTTCCCAAAAGACCAGCTTACTGCAGACATGGCCAGCTTAGTGCTAGGCATCACAGCACCAAGATAATAATAATAATAATAATAATAATAATAATAATAATAATAATAATTATTATACCCTGCCCATCTGGCTGGGCTTCCCAGCCACTCTGGGCGGCTTCCAACAAAATACTACTACTACTACTACTAATAATAATAATTTATTATTTATACCTCGCCCATCTGGCTGGGTTTCCCCAGCCACTCTGGGCGGCTTCCAATTGAACACTAAAATACAATAACCTATTAAACATTAAAAGCTTCCCTAAACAGGGCTGCCTTCACATGTCTTCTAAAAGTCTTGTAGATGTTGTTCCCTTTGACATCTGGTGGGAGGGCATTCCACAGGGCAGGTGCCACTACCGAGAAGGCCCTCTGCCTGGTTCCATGTAACTTGGCTTCTCGCAGTGAGAGAACCGCCAGAAGGCCCTGGGATCTGGACCCCGGTGTCCTGGGTGGAGATGCTCCTTCAGGTCTACTGGGCCGAGGATCGCATCTAAAGCAGGGACGTTATCTTTAATTCGTTCCCTAATGCTGGGCAAGTTAACCGTGGTACCCTCTAATCTCTCGCAGTGCCACGAAAAATAAACAAGCACCTGACCGTCGGCCACATGCAATCCAGCGAAGGTGCCCGGGCGCCAGGATGGCGCCTGACGTCTCCACCATCTGGAGGTTTATGTCCGGGGAACCAAAAAGTCGTCTGGTCCAAAAATGGCACCTAGGCATTCCGTCTTGGCGACTGTAACCCTGGTTTAGGGAGGCACCTGGCTTATATATCTGAGTTTCTTTCTTTTTTATACATTTTTATTAATTTTTAACATATTAATTAACATGCATACAACAGAACTTCTCATCTTATACAATATTTTTTGGACTTCCGTCAACACCTCTGATGATTTTCCGTACTTATCACTTATTATGCATTTCTTAATTTCATATTACCTTTAAATATCTTTAACTAATAATTCTCCTCATTATCTTTTTTTTTTTTTTGCAATATTACTAATAATTCACCTTACAAAACTTCTTGCAAACCTACTAGAGTAATCTGTTCATCACAATTGCTTTTCAAATAGCCTGTAAATTTACTCCAGTCTTCTGAGAATCTCTGGTCCCGCAGGTTTCGAATCCTTCCTGTTAGTTTATCAAATTCTGCATAGTCCATCAGTTTCATCCTCCATTCTTCTTTTGCCGGTAATTCTTCCTGCTTCCAGTTTTGTGTCAATAGTATTCTTGCTGCAGTCATTGCATAGAAAAACAACTTACAACCCTTTCTATTTATATCATCTCCTACAATGCCAAGTAAAAATGCTTCTGGTTTCTTAATAAATATATATTTCAACATTTCTTTTCATCTCATTGTAAATCATTTCCCAGAAGTTTTTCACTTTTTTACATTCCCACCACATGTGATTAAATGTTCCTTCTTTTTCTTTACATTTCCAACATTTATTACTAACTTTATACATTTTAGCTAGTTTCACAGGCGTAATATACCATCTATACATCATTTTCACCACATTTTCTTTTAGGGCATTGCATGCAGTAAATTTTAACCCTTCTTTCCACAGTTTTCCCCAATCTTTTAACTGTATATTATACCCAAAATCTTTGGCCCAATGTATCATAACCGACTTTACCTACATATCTGAGTTTGATACATATCTGCAGGAATCACAGCTCAGTCCGTCACTCTTGCACTGCTAACCAGAACGCGATGTGCAGCTGTGGTTTCTGAGACCCTGGTTGGGCCTGGGTGAGATGATGCTAGCTAGCAAAACTTCCTTCTCCCCCTCCTTTGGGACTCGGCTCCACATTTCCCTTGCCGCTGAGCCCCATTTTAACATGGTTTCCCCCTTGGCAGATGGTCTTCCGCCCTCCTCTGGACTTCTACGACGTCCTCATCCACCTGAACCCCAAGCAGATCCCGAGGCACCTGGAGGCAGTGGACCGGCCGGCCAAGTCCTTCTTCCGGGGAACGTTGAAAAGCAGTGCAGCTGTCAAAACCTTAGCTTTCCCGGTGGTGGATTACGACCCGGCTCAGCTGTACCTCCGAGAGTTGCAGGTAAGCAGGAGCTGGGGAAAAATAACGCAAGCGAATGTTACGGGCTCACTGTAATCATACAAGGGAGCTCCACCAAATTGTTATACGTTTGCCAGGACTGAGTTCATATCAGAAGCATAGCTGTCAAGCGTCCCTTATTTGGTGGGACAGTCCCTTATCCCAGCGCCATGTCCCGCTGCTGTCCCTTATTGATGATGTCCCTTAAATTTCCCGGGTCTCAAAGGAAGCAGCTCCTCTCCCTCTCTCCCTGCTGGCCAGGGAGGAGGGAGGCTCCAACTGTGTTGCTTGGCTGTGTTGCTCACCCAATAAGGACTCTAAGAACAACTGGGGGGGGTGGAGCTTGCATGCCTTGTGCCGATCAAATCGGCCGCATTGCCTGGGGACTCACCTTTGCTCAGCGCTTCCCAGCGGAGAGGCGACGGTGGTTTTCCTTGCTGCATCCCCTTTGCCGGGTTGCTGCACAGTGGGAACCACCGCTTGAGGCTTCATTTGGCTGCTGGTTGACTAAAATTTTGGCTGCTGATCCCTTATTTTCGAGGCTGCTGGTCCCTTATTTTTCAAATCTGTAAGTTGACAGCTATGATCAGAAGAGAGGAATCATAGAAGCCAAGAGTTAGAAATGGGCAATGAGGATCATCTGGTCGAACCCTCCTGTGATGCAGGAATCTTTCACCCAGCGCGGAACTCGAACCCACCACCCTGTGATTTAGAGTCTCATGCTCTACCGACTGAGCTATGTCTGGCCTAGAGTGCTTCTATATTCTGTTTTTTTAAAAAAATATATATATTTATTACTTTTCCAACCATTTAAACACAACAACAAAGAAAAAAAAAGAACAATACAATGCTTCTATATTCTGTTGGAAGCTGCCCAGAGTGGCTGGGGAAATCCAGCCAGATGGGCAGGGTATAAATAATAATATTATATTATTATTATTATTATTATTATTATTATTATTATTATTATTATTATTCTGTTTGGTGTGCCTGCTGGCCATCTCCTCCTGCAGGATACTCCATTCCGTCCCCTTCCCCACGCAGTTTTCTCCTTCACAAGAGTTGGTCAGGATTCCGTTGCTGCTGAGCACCCTCAGCCAGGTTTTACTCAAGAGTAGACCTGTTGAACGAATGGACCTAACTTGGTCATGTATTTTATTGGATGCACTCTCAGTAAAATTTAGTTGACTCTCACCTTCAGTTCCTTGTTGGGCTGCTTGACACCTTCATTATACACCTTCTGGCAAATACTAAATGCACCTTATTTAACATGGCTTTTGACACTTGAGCTGTGTGTGGTTTTTTGTATTGTTTGTTTAATTTTTTTTATTTTCAATGCAAAACTACAACAAAAATTACAAACATTGAATCCAAATAAAGCAGTTCAAAGAAGTAAAAAAAAAGAAAAGAACATGAGAAAAAAGAAAAAAACAGACAAAAAAACCCCAAAACACACATCTACAAATAAAACCATATCATCATTCTAATCGTTACGTATGTATTTACACAATGATTTCCTTCCTTTGTTCTAAGACCTCGAAATTTTTACTCTTTCTAAATTGTTTGTGTAGATTACCTCTGTCTTTATACTTTTACACCATTGAGCTGTGTTTTTTTAGGACCCCCCCTTATTTCTGAGACGGGAAGCTGTTTTAAATATTGTTTTTAATACTGTGTTTTGATGTTGCAACCTGTCTCTGCATCCATGACAGTTGGATTTCCGTAGTAAGTGGAAGACCTTTGTTGATTGATTGATTGATTGATTGATTGATTGCATTGATTGATTGCATTTATATCCAATCTTTTCCTCCAAGGAGCTCAAGCTGATGTACATTGCTCTACCTCCCCCCTTTAATCCCCACAATGACAGCCCTGTGAGGGAGCCTCAGGGATGGTGACCGGCCTGAGGTCAATCATTGAGATTTATTGGCCGAGTGAGGAGTCCAGCCAGATCCTAGTCCAACACTCTTAACTGCTACACCACACGGTCTGTCAGTAGTGTGTGTGTGTGTGTGTGTGTGTGTGTGTGTGGTGTTGGACTGACATTCTAGCATGGCCAAACTTCACAGCTGCCTTGTGGGAAAGGATGCTTGCCTACCAAACTCAGCAGACCTCAATCTGCAGAGCCAGCCAGGCAGTTCCTGTGTTCTTAGAATGGGTCTCCGTCTGCAGAGCAGTTGCAATATAAAAATTAGATGGCAGGGAGGTGTGGGTGGGTCTGAGCAAATGCCATCACATATGGGGGTCTTCTTCCCTCTGCTGGAAAAAGGCACATGCCAATGGAACCGTTTACCTTCCCGCCGGAGCGGGACCTATTTATCTACTTGCACTTTGTGCTGCTTTCGAACTGCCAGCAGGAGCTGGGACCGAGCAACAGGAGCTCACCCCGTCGCGGGGATTCGAACCACCGACCTTCTGATTGGCAAGTCCTAGGCTCTGTGGTTTAACCCACAGCGCCACCCGCATCCCGCAGCCATCAATAGCCCACTCCTCCACGAATGTGATTAATCCTCCTTTAAAGCCTTCCGAGCTGGTGGCCATGCCTGCCTGCTGTGGCAGCGAGTTCCGCAGTTTAACAGTTCAAAGATTTCCTTTGCTCTGCCCTGAATTTTCCAACGTGCAGCTTCATTGGAAGTCCACGGATTCTGGTGTCACAAGGCAGGAAGGAGAACTTAACCCTACCCACTTCTTCCCGTGCCGTGCTGAGCTTTAGAAATCTCTATCTGCAGCAGAAACCTAGGCAGAAACTTATAAACGTAAGCAGCAGAGCTGCTAGCTCTCTCGGCTGGGACGTAGATTGCTTAATGCAGGCCGCAAAGTTGCCTCAGAGGTGTTTCCGCTGCAAACTCCAGGAAAATAAGATAAAAAAGGATTCGCCGTGCAGGCAAGCAGCAGCTGCTTTTGGAGAACCCGGTGACACCCGGGCCGTTCCCAGACCCAGCCAATTCTTCGACAATCGCCTTGCAACAGAGGAAGAGAACAGGTTCTGTCCTGATCTGTGCCTCCGCTGACTCCTGGCAAAAGGGAAGTTTCCCAGGCAGCGCATAACCCTTCCTTGTTATTATTATTTTTTAAAAGCATCTGGGATTTGTTGCTTCAGCAGCTTCTGAATCACGCTGCGGTTTTTAACAAGAAGGTTCAGAGTCCTGGCAGGCCACATAGCAATATTCCTCCTGACATTATTAGCACACACGGCTTCATTCAGCAAGCGTCCGTCATGAGAAAAGGCGGGGGGCCCAATTAGCACCTCGTATATTCCTCTGTTAAAGCTATGGTTTAGCCGTATAGTTAAAGCTCTGGTTTTCCCAGTAGTGATGTACGGAAGTGAGAGCTGGACCATAAAGAAGGCTGATCGCCGAAGAATTGATGCTTTTGAATTCTGGTGCTGGAAGAGACTCTTGAGAGTCCCATGGACTGCAAGAAGATCAAACCTCTCCAATCGGAAGGAAATCAGCCCTGAGTGATCACTGGAAGGACACATCCTGAAGCTGAGGCTCCAGGACTTTGGCCACCTCATGAGAAGAGAAGACTCCCTGGAAAAGTCCCTGATGTTGGGAAAGAGGGCACAAGAAGGGGATGACAGAGGACGAGATGGTGGGACAGTGTTCTCGAAGAGACCAACATGAGTTTGACCAAACTGCGGGAGGCAGAGGAAGACAGGAGTGCCTGGCGTGCTCTGGTCCAGGGGGTCACGAAGAGTCGGACACGACTAAACGACTAAACAGCAACATATTCCTCTGTGCCCAGATATAAACCGTAATCTCTCAGGCTAATTAGTATAATAGCATCATCATCCGCGTGTGAGTTAATGCAGTGAGGCAGAGGTTTTCAACCTGTGTGTCTCTGCAGCCTCCTCCTCTTTCTCCCTATTCATATTAGCCATCCTTGCTGCAAATCTGCAAATCTCTCTCTTGATCTCTCTCTCTCTCCCTGATTCTGGCCTGAGTCTTGCCGCTGCTGCTGCTCCCACTTATGTGCATTACATCCTGTAATTAAACCCCACAGGGGAGCCACAGAAAATATGCAGTTGGTCAAAGGCACCGTGGGCTCAAAAGGGTTAGAAAGCCACTGCAATGTGCAGTGGTTTCAGTTGCACTCGGTCAACTGTTTCAGTTGCGCAAACTTAAACCTGGCCTCCCTCGCCCTTTGCAGGGGCAGCCTGAGATCGCCTCCTCTTTACGGTTAATCTGTGGAACTCACTCCCACAGGAGGCATGGGTTTTCAGTTTTCCCTTGAGGTGCCCGGGTGGCCACTGTGAGAGCAGGATGATGGACTAAATGGGGCATGGGCCTGATCCGGCTTTTCTTTTGCACATGCATAGGCTGAGTTATTAATCAGGTCATGTGAGGTTAGTGGCTGAGCCAACGACCGTGCAGACTTAATATAGTATTAATTAGTTATTAATATATATTAATATATTAATAACTTGCTGCATGCAAATAAAAATATTTGTATACCGATGTTGCATTACACACACACACACACACACACAATTTACAGCAATAAAAACATAAACCCATACAATAAAACCATTACAAAATTAAATAGCAGGCATCAGTTAATCACTGTGGAAGAGTGTACTCTTAATTGCCCTCATAGGCCTGGCAGAACAGAAACCGTTTCAGCAGGCATTTTTAGAGCTAGCACAGGAGGAATCTCTTGTGGCAGGGAGTTCCATGGGACTAGGACGGTGGTGCTAAAGGCTCGGTTTCTTGGTATCAAATGAACCTTGCCAACTGTGGGAACGATTTAATAACGCAAAGAAAAACTGGACCCAGAGGAGGGGTTTGATGGAAGTGAGATTTTGACACGACTGCAGTGGTATACTTTGAGGGTAGAGCTTCGTAATAATAATAATAATAATAATAATAATAATAATAATAATTTTTATTTATACCCCACCCTCCCCAGCCAGAGCCGGGCTCAGGGCTGCTAACACCAGTAAAATTACAATAAAAACATAATGGGGGGGGAGAAAAAGAAAAAAAAACAATTTAAAATACAGGTTAAAATGCCATTTCAGTTCCCCCTTCTTGTCCTTGTGCAGCAATAAAACTGCTAGCACATTTGCAAAGCTAAGCAGGGTCCGGTATGGTTTCAAATTGGATGGGGGACCGTCTGTTGAGATCCCTGCTTTGCAGGGGGTTGGACTAGATGTTCCTTGGAGGGGGCGTCCCTTCCAACTGCAGTTCTATGATTCTGTGAGTGAACGTTACCCATTCATTTATATGGAAGGAGGGTTAGGGCAGATTTCCCCAACCTGGCGCCTTCCAAATGTTTTGAGTTACAATTCCCACAAGCCCCAGCCTGCAAAGCTGAGCTGTAGTCCAAAACATCCGGGGTGGGTTGGGGGAAATCTCTGAGCCCCTTGGGTGCATTATGCGCAGCAAGATAATCTAGAAATCTGTTTCCCGCCTGCATTGCAAAACAAGCAAGCAGTTTGCAGAGTCAGTTTACCGGCTATTTTCCAGGAGTCGTTGTGACACAAGAGGGGCTCTCTGCGTGGCCTTGGGACATCAGGGACTGCGCTGAGCTGTTTAGGAAAGCAGCTACTGGTCTCTCTTCCTCTCCCCTTAAAACAAATAGAGAATTCAACAGGAGTTCAGCTATATTTTGTCCATGCAATGATGCCTTAGCTTTATGTCAGGGTAGGTCTTTTTTATATATATAATAATTTTTATTAATTTTAGTATATTAATTGTCATACATACCACAAAACTTCACATCTTATACAATCTTTTTGGACTTCCATCAGCACCTCTGATGATCCACCATTCTTATTATTTCTTCTGCATTTCTTAAATTCATATTACCTTTAATTCTCTTAACTAACAATCCTCCTCTTTATCCATTTTTGCAATAATTCAAATAACTCACCTCGCAAAACTTCTTGCAAACCTACAAACGTAATCTGATCGTCACAATTACTTTTCAAATATTCCGTAAATTTACACCAGTCTTCTGTGAATCTCTTATGTCAGGATAGGTCTTAACAGAGATAAAGATTGACCCGTGTGTGACCTTGATGGGCGCTGGGCAGATATATGGGTAGGTGATGTTGAGGCTTTGCTCAGTTCTAAACAGTTTTAGAGTCATTTGTTTATTTGCAACGGCTGATGGGGCAAGACGTGCCCAGCTTAAGTCTTATAGGAATGTATTGGCAAGCTTCACCCAATCTCCATCTGTCAGTCTGACCCTCCTCTCAGTTTTCTCCCTAGCCAAAATGCGACAAAGAAGCCGAATTCAGGCTGCGTAGTTTCCCCCTGGGGCAGGAACGCATTCCTCCGCTGTGTCTCACAACAACCATCGCCTTTGAGCGCCTTATTTTTTGAGTTTCTGTGCAATCTGCATATCACAGACCAGGTGTTAACTTGCAAGTGCCAGAGATAATCAGCATACCTAAGATCTGGACTAAATCACATAAACAACTTTTTATTTCTTCTTGGTTAAACCCAACCTGGTCATATCACAGGAACGAATAACATTACATAACCTAAGATGCTGCGAGGTGGAATGGCTTTGAGGACAACGCGTCTGCATTGAGAATCCCTGAGAATAATTGGAACCGGTGACGCTTAGTTCGAGTTTTAAATTCATTGCTTTCAGAGTCCTCTTTCTACACCTTATCGTAGTTTTTGATTGTTCCGTTTGTGACATAAACATTAGTGATATGTTCTAACTGTGCAATTTTTGCAGAAGTGTTCACTTGGCACCTCTGTATCAATGCAGGTTTAGATCGATGTTGTCCTTCCAAAACCATCAGCTTAACCCTGGTCTCTTCCAAACCTCTCTCCTTTGCAGGCGGCATTCGGTGACCTGGCGATGTTTTTCTACGACAAGCATGGAGGAGAGGTGGTGGGAGTCCTCTGGAAGCCTTCGGCCTTTGAGCCACAGCCTTTCAAGGTGAGGCGGTCTGAACCCTGGGATTTGGACCGTTTGTATTTTTGTAACCTGGGTTCTGGGTCGCATTTGCACAGGGTGCAAGGCGCTGGGCAGCAAATAGAGGTGGCCAGAGAGCATTCTGCCTGCCGGAATGCTTAGGTAAAGGTAAAGGGACCCCTGACCACTAGGTCCAGTCGTGGCCGACTCTGGGGTTGCGGCGCTCATCTCGCTTTATTGGCTGAGGGAGCCGGCGTACAGCTTCCGGGTCATGTGGCCAGCATGACTATGCCGCTTCTGCCGAACCAGAGCAGCACATGGAAACGCTGTTTACCTTCCGCTCGAGTGGTATCTATTTATCTACTTGTACTGGCGTGCTTTCGAACTGCTAGGTTGGCAGGAGCAGGGACCGAGCAACGGGAGCTCACCCTGTCGCAGGGATTCGAACTGCCAACCTTCTGATCGGCAAGCCCAACGCTCAGTGGTTTAACCCACAGCGCCACCCGCGTCCCATAATGCTTAGAGCTGATGTTAAGTGACACAGGGAGGGATGGCTGAGGGAGAGGCTTGCAGAGAAAAGGGGTATCTTGGCCAGTGAGCGAGGGGCTGCTGTTTTCGGCCAGCGACATGGTGAAAGCTGCAGAGACCTTTTGGGTTGGAGGGGAGAAAGGATGTAAGATGGGATAGATGAGGATCAAGCTGGAAGATCGAGAGAGCAGGTGCAAAAGAAGGTGAGGAACGAGAAAGGACAGAGCTGATTGATGAAGGGCTTGGCAGTGAGCTCACATAAGAAGCCCCTTTGGAAGTGCAAGATGTATGGTAGCTGGAGGGAAAGATGACTTGAGGAGAAGGTGGGGAACTGCTGGCTTTCAGCCAAAGGATAAATAAATCTACATGGCTGCTGCTTTGTAACTGCAACTGCTCATGTGGATAAAAGAGTCAGAGGGTGTTGGCTTGGCATGCCCAACTGGTTGCAGAACAGAGCCTCTAGCATGAAATCTGATGGAGCCGGCCGAATAATCAAGCATCCTTTCCCTACCCCCACCCCAACACCACCATCCTTTTTTACTAGCAAAATACTGTATTTTTTGCTCCATAAGACGCACCTAGTTTTTAGAGTGGGAATGCAAGGGGGAAAATATTCTTTAAAGGGAGCGCTGAGCAGAGTCTGTATGCATCCCAGGCACTGCTCAGCGCTCCCTTTCACAAGCCACGTGGAGCATGTGTGTGGCGCTTGCAGGCTTTTCCCCGAGAAGGGAGAAGGGCAGCCTCCGCGCGGCTCTTGGGGGCTTTTGCGGGAGGCGGGGGAAGGGACAGAGAGGTTAAGGCAGAGGCTAGAACAGCAAGAGGGAGCGCTGCGCAGCACTCCTTCTCGCTGTTCTGGCTTCTGGGATAGCCGCACAGCCTGCATTCGCTCCATAAGACGCACACACACTTCCCCTTACTTTTTAGGAGGGAAAAAGTGCATCTTATTGAGCGAAAAATACGGCAAGTTCCTAGCCCTCATGGTGGCAGATGCGTTTTGTGCATCAGCTGGCGTGCTGTTGGCAGACAGATTCTGCTCAAGTGGCTCAGACCGGCTTTCAGTTTCAGAAGCTAGCAAGGCCTAGGGAGTGGGGCTCAATTCAAGAATCATGCCAAACCATGGTTAAAGGAGAAACTCGAGTACGGTTTAGCAAACCATATCACTTAGCAAAGGTTTCTTCCTCACTCTTCCAGAGTAACTGGAAAGTTTTAGGACAGTTTTCCCGCTAAAGCGACAGATTATTTATTGCAAAGCATGGAATCTATACCAGTAAGATAGAAACGGTATCAGACCATCTTAAATTGGCGAGATAAGTAAAAAAAGGTATTTTTTACTTACCTTTACAACCTGGCATTGTAAAGGTAACGGTCAGCTCTATGCAAGTTGGTTTGGGGAAGAAATTGCAAATACTGGGTGTCACCACTGAAAAGGTGTGGTTTAGAAACCATGGTTTGTGCTAACCAAGGTTTGTTGCGGTACCTAAATGGGAAAACCACACTCTCTGCCCCTCTGGAGGCTCTTGTAGCACAGAAGTAGAAATGCTGAGCGGATGGACACTGAAACCAGACAGGCGAACTGCAAACCATGGTTTTCCCACCTGTTCAGAGCCTCGGTTCAGATTTTGGGTTCTAAACCCGGTTTTGGTACAGTGTTTGGATTGAGCCACGGTCTGAACTCACTTATTATACCTGTTCTTTCCGTCACAGGTGCTAAGCATGAAAGGAAGAATGCTGTCTGCCCTTGCCCCTGAGCCCCTGACAGTTCCCAATGTGGAGGCCATTTTGGAAGACTTCAAGATTTTGGGAGAAGGATTGGTCAAGTCAGTAGAGGCCCGTACAGAGAAATGGTCCATTTAGAACCTTTTGGAACTTTGTGCTGCATGTATAAAGTGTTGCCCAGGGTGTGTTCTCACCCGTAACTTTTTCCACTTAGCACTGTCTTATACGAAAGGTATTTTATTACATACAAACTTCTCTCGATCCTATTTCCTCCTGTAGACTCATCCAGTTTAGAGAAACTTGACCTCCCTAATAAAGGACTCTTGTTATTGTAGAAACTCTTATTAAATCCTCCTCCCGCCACCTTTTGAGGCCAAGGAAATAATTGGAACATTTCCCTTTATTCGTCCAGTGGAATTCTAATTAAAACATCACACCCTCTTAAAACCGTCAAGGTGTGAAATGCTGTTTTTTCATCCAAAGCTTATTTTACTCTTGAGTTAGCACATACAGAACTCACTATAGGAGTGTTTTCTCTCCCAGGCATTAAATCAATGCTTATACCTTAGAATCATAGAATTGGAGGGGTCTCCAAAGGTCATCTAGGCCAACCCCCTGAAGTACAGGCTTCGCAGCTGAAGAATCTCTGAAAACAAGCTTGCTCCCATTTTCCATGTCACAGCCCTTTAGCCTGCAGAAATACTACTACTACTACTACTAATAATAATATTTATTTATACCCCGCCCTCCCCAGCCAAGACTGGGCTCAGGGCGGCTAACACCAGATATAAAACAATTGATTGAAATACAACTTAAAAACAAGATTAAGATAATGCATTAAAAGGCAGCCTCATTTCAGTAGAAACTCAAAACGTCAAGTCTTCACCAAGGCCAACTATCCAGACTGGTCCTACATGGGCCAGAAAAAAGCCAGGGAAGTCCCCAAATAGGAGTTCCATCACAGAAGGAGAAAGGAAAAAGGAAAGAGGGGAAGGAAATCAAGTTGATTCCAAGCCAAAGGCCAGGCGGAACAACTCTGTCTTACAGGTCCTGCAGAAAGAAATCAGATCCTGCAGGGCCCTGGTCTCATGAGACAGAGCGTTCCACCAGGCCAGGGCCAGTGTTGAAAAGGCCCTGCCTCTGGTTGAGGCTAATCTGACTTCCTTAGGGCCAGGGACCACTAGGGTGTTGCTATTTATGGACCTTAAGGTCCTCCATGGGGCATACCGGGAGAAGCAGTTCCGTAGGTACGAGGTGCAAATGTACTTGTACTCATTTTTGCAAAGTTCGTTTTGCCTTCTTCATTCTGATTTTCCTAGCTATGGTGGGGGTCAGCCACCACTGCATGCCCTCCTGAACTCCCTCCTGTTACCTGTCCACCTTGAAAGCCATATCCACAGCCCTAAGGACTAGAAACCTGTCTCCCACTTTTAAAATAGAGGCTTTCAAGATGCAGAATGTAGTGCTGCTGTTAATTCATTTAAAAAACCCAAAACAAAACCCCAAGCTCTGGTTAGGAGCCACAGCACACTCATATTGCAGCCTTGTGGTTGATATTTTTGCAACATGCTGGAGTTGCAACATCAGTTAATGCTTTGCGGTTCCACCACTGTGTTAGTAGAAGATGAGTAGAAATGAGGAACGCTCAAGGGAGTTGGCTATGCTTAGCCTGGAAAAGAGAAAACAGAGAGTCGTCTCCAAATATCTTAAGGGCTGTCACACAGAAGATGGGGCAAGCATGTTTTCTTCTGCTCCAGAGGCTAGGACCCGAACTGATGGATTAAAGTCACAAGGAAGAAGATTCTGATTAAGCACCAGGAAGAACTTTCAGAGCTGTTCAACGGTTAGAACATCAGCAATGTCTAGGCAACACGATGACCATGTACATACGCAATAGACAGTCTTTATAGAATTCCTTCAAACCATAACAAGTACAAAATGAAATCTTTAGTCTCAAAGTCTCTGCAAATCTTTAAATGAAGTGAGGTACCAGACTTTGTATGATGACAGACAAGCTGTGAAGCTTTGTGTATTCAGCAAATACGATGTCCAACACTGAACAGTGATTCCGGATATAGACTATTGTTTTGTAGAATTCTTTGTCAGCATGGTGGGAGGATATAGAATTGCTTCATAAACCCATCTTATTTTGAATGTATGTAAATGAAAATATCAACCAATCAATCTTTATTATGGTCCAGAGACCCAACAAATCGTTACAAAGCAATGCACAATTCAGACAGCCTACCTCCAGGTTAAACAAGCATTTTGTTGAAAAGATAGGGATCATTGGTTCTTGCAACTACCGATAAAAACTTTGCCACTGCTAATGTTCTAGCATTTGTCCGGTCTTCCAGTAGGAACCTGACATAGTGAGCCTCTGATTTTCCCGGGAAAGGTACCATCAAGGGTAATATCAGTTCAGCCCTGGCTTGCTCATATTTCGCACAGTGCAGCAAAATATGTTTTATGGAATCGATGTCTTGAGGACACGAGCAAAGTCTGTCCTGGTAGGGAACTCCTCTCAACCTGCCATCCAACACTGCAGAAGGAAAGACGTTTAGTCTGGCTTTGGTGAAAAGCCTTCGATAATTTGGTACTGTCAGGTTTTTAATGTAAGATGTTAACTTAAAGACATGTCCATATTGTTCTCCTACTGCCAGCAGACTACAGACTGCATGTGATCGAGATCGCAAGTCACTGTGTGCATTATCCCATAATCTTTGCTTTAATGTCTTTAACCTCCTCCATTCTGGGCAACCTTCTGGGTGGCCACATGCCCCTCGTGGGCGGGGCCAGAGACACAAGTGGGCAGAGGAACAAATGCAAATCTTGCCTCTTTTCTACACTTGCACCCTCCCGCCTCTGCCCCTCCACCCAAGGTTTCCCAGACTTGGGTCTCTGGCTGTTTTTGGACTACAACTCCCATCATCCCTAGCTTGCAGGACCTGTGGTCAGGGGTGATGGGAATTGTAGTCCCCAAACAGCTGGGCAAACAAACCAGGAGTGGTGTTCAAGGACGCATTTTCAGCCAGGAAGAAAACAGCTGGCGATGGGTGTACAGTTGTACCTCGGATTAAGAACTTAATTCAATTTGGAGGTCCATTCTTAACCTGAAAGGGACGCGGGTGGCGCTGTGGGTAAAAGCCTCAGCGCCTAGGGCTTGCCGATCGAAAGGTCGGTGGTTCGAATCCCCGCGGCGGGGTGCGCTCCCGTTGTTTGGTCCCAGCGCCTGCCAACCTAGCAGTTTGAAAGCACCCCTGGGTGCAAGTAGATAAATAGGGACCGCTTACTAGCGGGAAGGTAAACGGCGTTTCCGTGTGCGGCTCTGGCTCGCCAGAGCAGCAATGTCACGCTGGCCACATGACCCGGAAGTGTCTCCGGACAGCGCTGGCCCCCGGCCTCTTGAGTGAGATGGGCGCACAACCCTAGAGTCTGGCAAGACTGGCCTGTACGGGCAGGGGTACCTTTACCTTTACCTCTTAACCTGAAACTGTTCTTAACCTGAAGCACCACTTTAGAGCTAATGGGACCTCCTGCTGCCACCATGCCACCGGAGCACGACTTTTGTTCTCATCCTGAAGCAAAGTTCTTAACCCGAGGTACTATTTCTGGGTTAGTGGAGTCTGTAACTTGAAGCGTCTCTAACCTGAAGCGTCTGTAACCCGAGGTACCACTGTAGAGCCTGGAAAGAGTTGTGAGGGCCAGGCAGAGAGGCTCAGAGGGGCCCATTCAGTCCCTGCATCTGAGGTTCCTCCGTCCTGCATTCACACACAACCTGCCCTGGATATTTTTCTGCTGCATTGATGCATCAACATAACTCCCATTGTTGCTGCTGCTTGAGGACACAGTGTCCCAAACCTGCATCCTCTTGCCTTGTGCAGAAAAGCGTAGCCAGGATCTTGCTCTTTTAAGCCCCTCCTTCCCAGTAAAACAAGACTGCGCCTGGTTTAAATATGCCCTGAGCACAAACAGAAACTTGTTAAAACCCTTCCAAATATAACTTTTACTAATGCTTATAAACTTTTTAATGCCTATAGTTCACTGGGAGCAGGAAACGGCTTCCGTGTGGGTGGTGGCGCTTCTTTGGGATCTCTCCCGGGCTTTTGTTTTGCAGCATCTGGAAAGCGAAGAAAAGACACTTTGGAACCGCGGGTGGGGCTAAATGGGCACTGGAAGATCCAAACTAGGCTGGCAAAGTCTCACTTGAGCCGCACACCCAACTGTGGTGGCTGAAGCTGATGGGAGTTGTAATCTGAAATATTGAGGGCACCAGGTTAAATAATAGTAATAATTTATTTATACCCCACCCATCTGGGCAGCCACTCTGGGCGGCTTCCAATCGAGTGTTAAAAACAATACAGCATTAAATATTAAAAACGTCCCTAAACAGGGCTGCCTTCAGATGTCTTTTAAATATAAGATAGCTACTTATTTCCTTTACATCTGGTGGGAGGGCGTTCCACAGGGCGGGTGCCACTACCGAGAAGGCCCTCTGCCTGGTTCCCTGTAACCTCACTTCTCGCAATGAGGGAACTTCCAGGTTGACAAAAGCGAGCCTAGTTCAGATCTCACCTTTTCCAAGACCTCACTGACAAGAAGGACACTGACAAACTGGAACGTGTCCAGAGGAGGGCAACCAAAATGGTCAAAGGCCTGGAAACGATGCCTTATGAGGAACGGCTAAGGGAGCTGGGCATGTTTAGCCTGGAGAAGAGGAGGTTAAGGGGTGATATGATAGCCATGTTCAAATATATAAAAGGATGTCATATAGAGGAGGGAGAAAGGTTGTTTTCTGCTGCTCCAGAGAAGCGGACACGGAGCAATGGATCCAAACTACAAGAAAGAAGATTCCACCTAAACATTAGGAAGAACTTCCTGACAGTAAGAGCTGTCCGACAGTGGAATTTGCTGCCAAGGAGTGTGGTGGAGTCTCCTTCTTTGGAGATCTTTAAGCAGAGGCTTGACAACCATATGTCAGGAGTGCTCTGATGGTGTTTCCTGCTTGGCAGGGGGTTGGACTCAATGGCCCTTGTGGTCTCTTCCAACTCTATGATTCTATGATTCTATGACTCAGCCGGTGGCCTTGGATATCTCTGCCTCAAACCACCTGCAGTGTGAACATAGTAAGAAGGCTGACCGTTCTCTTTCACGAGGTTGTGGAAAGCATCTTGCATTCTACAACCCACAACTGCAGCGGGGGTAAAAAGGAATGTCAGCCCTTAACTCACATTTTCTCTAAACTAAAAACTCCCCAATGCTGAAGCCTTTCCTCAGAGGGAAGTTGCTCCTTCCCATCAGACAGGTCGCTTGCCTTTTTCTCTCCCTATTTGAATACATTTCATTAACATTCGCAACAAAGGAATACGAATTTTTTTTTAATATAAAATATTTATTGAAAGTTTTAGACATTATAATCACCCAGCACATATAGACCCATCACCAAGATACAGT